ACTAAAATGAAGAGGCATGGAACAGCCATGTGGGTGAACTGTACGTGGCTTTGTGAGGGCAGACTCTTTCATCACTGAGTGTCCAGTTTTTCCTAGGCTCCTACATTGTATCATAAATCTCTTGGGCATCACCTCATATCTTCTCAACTTCATCTCAATTCCAGACATAGTTATGGCAACCAGTTCTGCACAGACTTCAACCTTCTTCAGTCTGACATCACCTTTCCTCAGGCTGTCCTAAGGCTGTTCTAAAACCTCAGCACAAGACGCCTATGGGAGCCTGATCAGCCCTCACATCTGTACAACCCCAAAATGCAAACAAATAATGCACTATCGGGTAACCCTCAATAATAAGGGAAAATGCTTCCCCTTTTGTTTTTCAGGTGCACAATTGTGAGAAGTCTATAGGGCTCTTCAGAAAGTGTCGGTTAGATGGAACATCATTCCTCCACAGTTGTGCCAACTCAATAACACATCTAAGTTTTGGCTTATCCTTCTTTCTTATTTCTTTCTTCCTGGTCCCCTACTCGTAGAAGATAGATCACTTCCAGGAAACTATCTGCTTGAAGCCATTGTCTTAGGTTCTGTTTTCAGGAGAACCCAAGCTAAGATATTGATAATAGGGCCAGCGAGGACCACAGCAATGAAATGGAGCCCTAATTTCAAGGAATCTCTTCCAAGTTCATACCGTAGTAGGCAGTCTCTGAGACGGCCTCCAAAGATCCGTGCCTCCTGGAAGTCACATCCTTATGTAATAATCCCCTTGAGTATGGGCTGGATTTGGTTTCTTACTTCTACAGAGTAGAATGAAGCTGGGAGATGGCTGAATTTCATTTCTAAGATTAGGTTACAAAAAAAACTGTGGCTTCTCACTTGCTCTCTCCAAAGGAAGCTAGCTGCCATGTTGCGAGTTGCCCTAAGAAAAGGTTTATTTGAAAGGAACTGATGATGTCTCTGGCCAACAGCCAGCAAGGACCTGAGGCTTTCCAATAGTCACATGAGTGAGCTTGGAAGCAGATGCTCTCTCAGTTAAACCTTGAAAGACTAGCAGATACTCTGTCAGTTAAACCTTGAAACAACTGATTGCAACACTTTAATTACAACTTTATGAGATACTCTGAACCAGAGACACTCAGCTAAACTGTGACCAGATTTCTGATCCACAGAAACTTGCAGATATTAAATGTTTGTTTTAAATTACTAAATTTTGGGTGTTATGGATTGAATTATGTCCCCCCAAAATGTGTGTCAACTTGGCCAGGCCATGATTCCCAATACTGTGTGATTGTCCTCATTTTGTCATCTGATGTGATTTTCCTATATGCTGTAAATCATACCTCTATGATGTTAATGAGGCAGGATTAGAGACAGTTATATTAATGAGGCAGGACTCAAATCTACAAGATTAAGTTATGTTTTAAATCAATCTCTTTAAAGATAATAAAAGAGAAAAGCGAGCAGAGAGACGGGGGACTTCATACCACCAAGAAAGCAGTGCCAGGAGCAGAACACATCCTTTAGACCTCGGGTTCCTGTGCTGAGACACTCCTTGACCAGTGGAAGGGTGATGACAAGGACCTTTCCCCAGAACTGACAGAGAAAGAAAGACTTCCCCTCGAGCTGGAACCCTAAATTGGGACTTCTAGCCTCCTAAACTGTGAAAGAATACATTTCTCTTTGTTAAAGCCATCCACTTGTGGTATTTCTGTTATAGCAGCACTAGGTAACTAAGATAGGGATAATTTGTTACTCAGTCATAGATAACTAATATAATGCACCATCATGAAAAACAAGAACTATTATTGGTAATCTAATGTAAAAGAATGAGTTCCTGGGTGGTGCAAATTGTTAAGCCCTTGACTACTAACCAAAAGGCTGGAGGTTCAAGTCCACAAAGAAAGTCCTGATGTTCTGCTTCTGAAAGCTCACAATTTTGAAAACACTATGAAGTGCAATTCTACTCTGCGCACATGGGGTGACCACAAGTCAGAATCAACCAGACAGCAGCTGATTTGGTTTTTGTTTTGGATGTAAAAGAGGAGAACAATGTTCCTTTCCAGCCTTAAGGGAAGAGCTAATACCAGAACTCCATCTGAAGACAAAGCCATTCTAATAGCTGAGCTAGGTGAGGAACACGTGTGTCTGTGTGTTAACACACCTTAAAAAAAAAAAGAAAGAAACCACTGGACCAAAGACCAAAACATATTTGTATTATGTTCACTAACCAAGACACCACTTTCTGGTCTCAGGATTGTTAAGAAAATTAATCAATTAGAATGGTGCTTGAATAATGATAAGCCATGTAATTTAAAGACAAAGGGAAACAATACCACTTGTCTCAGCCAAGCATCCTGAACCCTGATTAACATCTTTCAGATTCTCTCTTAGAAAATTTCAGGACCTGAAAGTGTTATTTCATTCATTTGATAAATAATAATAGAATGCATATCATGTGTCAGATACATTGAAAATATAGCAACAAACAAGAATGAAAATGTCCCTACCTCATAGAGTTTACATTTTAGTGTAGAAGTAAGACAATAAATACATACATATTTATATTTTTGTGTGTGCATGTGTGTGCATGCGTGTGTGTTCAGTGTCAAACAGAGATGACTAAAGAAAATGAAGTGGGGTAAAAGTAAAGTGAGTAAGAGAGGTTACTATGTGAGATAAAGTACCAAAGAAGGCCTCTGTAAGACGTTGATATGGTCAGATTTATAAGTGACTCTCAGAGGCGCTGTGTAAATAAGAAACTGGGTGCCAGGGTTGAGTAGGAGCAGGAGGCAGGGAGACCAGTTACAAGCCTATTGCAGTTATCCAGGTGAAAAAGATGGTGATTTGGACAGCAGAGACAGTAGAAGAGGTAGTAAGAAGTGGCCAGAGTCTGGTATATTTTGAAGGTAGAGCTGGCAAGATCTGCTAGTGGATTCAATGTGGTGGGAGAGATTTGGGGCCTAAGCAACTAGTGATGATGCTGTTAACTGAGATAGAACCACTGGGAAAAGCCAAAAAACAACTCCAAACTCATTGCCATTGAGTCAATTCTGACTCATAGCAATACTATAAGACAGAGTAGAACTGCCCTGTAGGGTTTCCAAGGCTGTAAATCTTTATGGAAGCAAACTGCCACATCTTTTTCCCATGGAGGGGCTACTGGGTTCAAATCACCAACATTTTGGTTGGCAGCTGAGCACTTTAACCACTGTGCCACTAGGGCTCTCACTGGGAAAAGTAGAGAATGGAAATTAGAAATCAAGATCTCATTTTTTTACATTCTCCATTTGAGAGGCCTTATAGATATCTATGTGGAGCTGTTGAATAGGTAATTGGATATGTGAGAACAAAGTTCATTGAAGAGGTTGTGTCTGGAAATATAAATTTTAGAAGCTGGGGAAACTGAAGACCAATTCTTGTCATTAAATGCCCAAGAAAGTTGATTGTGCCAGTTAATGCCTAAAGAGAATACACGCAGACTAATTGAGCTATCTTGACAAGCCCCAAAAACGGAGAGTTTTCGAACTCTCAAAAGGAGGAATTGTAGGTAGTAGAAGCTCAAGAGGAATTAAGTGATTTCAGGAAGTTACTCTGCTATTATACTTTCAAGGTTCTTTGTCCAAAATGAACTACATCCCAAGGTAACAAAAATACTTGTAAGTGATTACTGAAGAACTAATGCTAATGTTTCTGGAATTATGAAGAATCAGAGAATGAGAGAAGTGGTAAATAACATTCTTTTCAAATGGTGCAGCAGATTACAAATGATTGATAAATGAGCTTCAGTTTAGACAAACTTCTAGAAAATATTAATATACTAGAATACAATAGACTATAAATATTTTAGATTTGAGATATGAGAGAAAGACAAGAGTCAAGATGATATCAAGATTTTGGAACTGAACATCTGGAAGAATTACATTGAGATGGAGAACACAGTGGATGTAACAGGTTTTGGAGAAAAGATCAGCAGTTCACTTTTGGACATGTTTTGTTTGAGATGATTAGTAGACATCTGAATGGAGATGTCCAATAGGCAATTTGACATATGAGTTTGAATTTTGGAGCAAGGTCTGGGTTGAAGATAAAAATTTTAGAATATCATGAAATGGATGAGATCACCAAGTAAGAGTCTTAGCCCTGGGGTAACTAGTCATTAAGAAGTCAAGGACAAAAGTACTAAGCAGAAAATGAGACTGAAAAGGACTAGTTGTGAAGTGAGCAGAAAATAAGAGGAGCGTGGTGCCCTGGAAGACAAAGAAGATAGTATATCAAGGGGGAGGAAACGATCCACTGTGTCAAATGCTACTGATGAGACATGTAAGAGAACTGAGAATTGACCTTTGGATCAGTAACAAGGAGCTTATTCATGTCCTTGAAAAGAATAGTTTCAGTGAAATGGTAAGGCCAGAATTTGATTGTAATACATATAAGGGATAATGGGAGGAAAAGTATAGGAGATAACAAATACAGGCCAATATTTTCAAGAAGCTACTGAGCTGATAAAGGAAGTGGGGTCAAGAGAAGTTTTTCGTTTTTGTGTGTTTGTTTTAAGATGGAGGGAATAACAAAAAGAGAAAAATTAGCCATGTAGCAGAAGGAGGCAAAAATTTCTTCAGCAATTTCCTTCAGTAGATGAGAGAAGATGGGATCTAGTATACAGGTGGAGGGATTGGTTTTAGATGGGAAGATTTGTGTTAACAGGTAGAGTGTGCAGGTGCAGCTGCTGGTAGATGAGTAGATGTGGTGGAGCGAGTCTGTTTAGGTTTTCTTCAGACTGCTTCAATTTTCAATGCTTCAGGGTAAGAAGAAGGATCATCAGTGGAGAGTGGGAATGAAGGAAGTGTTAGGGTATTACATAGTCATCTAGGAGAGTGGAAGAGTGAATGGACTAGAGAAGTAGAGTACGATTGTGTTGCACTGTCTATCTGCATTGCACATGCAGACAGGCTCTGCCTCAAACTTTCAGGCAGCCGTAAAACTGCTGGGGATGAGACACATACGCTCAACCACTAGCATCAACCATTCTAGGGGTGCTGTGTTCCTCTGTGATTGAGCCGGGCACATGAGACACTTGCACAGTGTTGGCAAAGTGAAAGCCATTATTACTCTTTATAGAAGGCAAATGGTAAACAATAACAACAGATTCTCAAAAGGGAAACGCTTACCCTTCCTCAAATTACCCATGTTCATTCTTATGTCAATAGGCAGGCATGCTGTGGTTCAGCATGTGGTTCATGCTGTGGTTCAGGTCAGATGCTGTGTTCCTGTCACTGCTGCCTCTGGCTACTACCACACGGCCTAAGGCTTCTGCTCTGCTGCTGGGCCTCTCTGGGCCTTGCCTCCACGGCAGGAAGACCCCCACACAAGATCTTCTGAGCCTCTGCCACTGGCTATCACCATGCAAGGCTGTGATTATAAGAAGGGTACAGACATACCAAAGTATGTTAGCTAATGGAGACCTTATAATTGCATGTCAAAGGCCTCTGTCTTTCAATCCACCTTGAGAGTTGTATAATAAAAATTACATTATGACAAACAAATTACAGAGTCATGGTTATAAAAATTAAACTAAGATGAACAAATATTTATTGAGTATATCCCTATACTAGAATGCATCCCACAAGTACAGTGTAGAAACTGATACAGATGTGTCAGAAAACCATTACAGATATTGCGTATCAGGAAATAAATTCTGGCACAAGTATAGGCTCACCACACAAACTGTGTATTTAATCTATGTTTGATTGTATAGCATGTAGGAAAGTGAAGAACAAGATTTTACATTAACCACATAAGATACTTAGAGGTACTTGTGACAAAGTCCAGAAATACAAAAATTAGTCCATAACACATTCATGAAGGGAATACTGTTAATTCTTTTGTACTCAAGTCATTATTTCTTTTTTATTTTACATATATTGCTATGTTTGTTTGCTTTTATCACTATATTCACTATTTAATAAATATTGAGCACCTACTATAACTAATATACTTTCTTATGACTATAAAAGACATACAAATGAATCAGTCATGGTCCCTACTCCCAAGGAATTGACAGTCTAGTTGTTGAAATCAAATTTATTCACACTATCTAAAATACACAGGTAGAGAGTGATAAGTACAGATAGTTTAAAAACTGATAAGGAGCCACTCTGTAAAAGAATACGGCAGTTTCTTAAAAAGCTAAACACGTGCTTACCATACGGTCCAGAAATTGCATTCCTGGGCATTTATCCCAGAGGAATAAAAATGTGTATTTCCACAAAACCCGTACATGAATGTTCATAGTAGCTTTATTGTAATAGCCCAAAACTGAAAACTACCAAAATGTTCTTCAATGGGTCAATGGTTAAACAAACCGTGGTACATTCATACCATGGAATACTACTCAGTAATAAAAAGAGATGAAATATTTACAAACAACAATTTAGATAGATCTCAAGGGAATGGTGCTGGTGAAAAAAGCCAATACTAAAATGTTGCATACTGCATGATTTCCTTTATATACTGTTCTTGAAATAACAAAGTTAGAGAGATGGAGAATAAATTAGGGAGGGAGGTGAGTGTGATTATAAAAGGATAGTGTAAGGGATCCTTGGGAACTATTCTGTCTCTTGACTGTGGTGGTGGTCACATGAATCTACACTTGTGATAAAATTACGTAGATCTAAACACACACTTGTGCATATTTTTAAAACTCGTGAAATCTGAATAAACTTGATGGATTGTCTTAATGTCAATTTCCTGGTTGTGATATTGTGCTATAGTTAAGCAAGATGTTACCATTTGGGGGAAACGGGATGAAGAGCACACAGGATTTCTCTGAGTTATATCTTACAACTGTATGTGAATCTACAATTATTTCAAATAACATTACATTTCAGAATTGCAGAAAAGAGGATGTTGCTTCCATTTGAAGAAATCATGGAAGCCTTCATGGAGGAGGAAATACTTGAACTAGACTTGATATAATCCTGTTGCTCTATTGTTAATGAGGATTATCATTTTCAAATAGTGAAATGAACAATTAGAATAGACCTTCATGGTCATAGAGAACACCTTGACAAATAACATGTTTTGGAATGACCCCAATAAAACTTCTTTCTTAGAATCAGAATGAAACAAGAAATTAGCCCATTCTCTTGATCTAATTTTTTCATTTCAAAAATATTTATTTAACTATTATGATCAAGTATCAAGACTGTATTTTCATTATAGCCACAGTTATAGTATCTACCATTTCTTGAGCACCTACTGTGTTTCAAGAACCGTGCTAAGCATTTTCAAACGTTATCTCATTTGAATCCTACAATAGTCATCTGAGGTAAATTGTTATCCCTGTCTTATAAGTGAGTAAATTGATGCCTAGAGTGTTTAAATAAGTTATACAGTTAGTAAAAGCTAGGAAACACTTCTTAAAATTAATGTGTAAACAATTATAAATCTATGTTTTCTGCATAATACAAAAATAAAAGAGCCATTCAACAACATTTATTGAAAGATTATTATATACAGAGACCTTTATGAAGTTCAGAGGGAAAAGAGGGAAAAGATATAGATGAGGAACTGCTTGCCCTCTTGTACAATTAAAAAAACATCATTAGAGTCATAACTTCTTTCTCCAATGAAATGGTTAACAGATATGCACAGGAATGCTGAAACACATTACACCCTCTTCTCACTTATCAACATGGTTATGTTCCAAAGACCAGTCATTTTGTGAAATCGGTGTTATGTGAAAAAGGAGGCTGACCATATCAAATCACAAAATGGAGGTGACTACATCATTACATGACTTCCAAATTACATCATTACATAACTGCCAAGTTACATCATTACATAGCTACCAATTACATCATTACATAACTGCCAGATTACATCATTACATAACTGCCAGATTACATCATTACATAACTGCCAAACCACTGAGAATCATGGCCCAGCCAAGCTGACACACAAACTTAACCATAAAAGCCAGAGCTACTCTCACCTCACACCTCAGTGTTCATTATTGCCAGTTGTACATCATTAATGCACAAAATAGTTGGATAGTAGATTTTTCACTATTGTAAATGCGAAATGTCAGATAATGAGATAATCGATAAATAAGGAGAAGATGTATCTTTCAAAAGAAGTTTTCATTTTAAAAGTATAATTCTGTACTATCTATTTCTCTGTGCATGTAAAATTTGAACTATTGCTCATATTTTCACTGTGATTCAGGCCTCTATTTCTCAAATCTTTTGTAAAAGAAATATCAAAAATTTTTCTCGGAGAAACTTAATGCAATAATTTAAAATTAAACTTAAAATTTCCCATTAATTTAGATTTCCTCAAGTTTGTTGCAGAGGGAATGCCTCAAATCACATGCAATACAATTTTTTTTTTTTTAATTTTGGAATCTAATCTCCAGAAATCTGGAAACTACTAATAATGATGTCATTTTACATAAATTCATTTTAAATGCCTATGGAAAGATGAACTGTATTATTTTGTATTTCAAGACACTAATGTAGAATTTCTACTACGTTTTTCAGTATTACTTGAAGATCCAGACACCCTTCATGCATTAAGTTCTTACTTACAGCTCGGAGGTGCCACCTAGAGGCACTGGAGAATGTACTGAGACAAAAGAAATCAATTTTTTTTTCCTTTTTTTTTTTTGGTGTGCTTTAGCTGGAAGTTTACAGCTCAAGTTGGTTTCTCATACAAAAATTTATACCCACTTCGTTATGTGACCCTAGTTGCTATCCCTATAATGTGACAGCACACTCATCCTATACACCCCTGATTTCCCGTGTCCATTCAGCCAGCTCCTATCCCTTTCTGCGTTCTCATCTTGCCTCTGGATAGGAGCTGCCCATTTAGTCTCATGTATCTACTTCAACGAAGAAGCACACGCTTCACGAGTATCATTTTATGTCCCATAGCCCAGTCTATTCTTTGTCTGAAGAGTTGGCTTCAGAAATGGTTTTAGTTCTGAGTTAACAGAGAGTCTGGGTGCCGAGTCTTCTGAGGTTCCTGCAGTATCAGTCAGATCATTAAGTCTGGTCTTTTTATTAGAATTTGAGTTCTGCACCCCACTTTTCTCCTGCTCCATCAGGGACTCTCTGTTGTGTTCCCTGTCAGGGCGGTCATTGGTGGTGGCTAGGCACCATCTAGTTCTTCTGGTCTCAGGCTGACAGAGTCTCTGGTTTATGTGGCCCCTTTTGTCTCTTGAGCTAATATTTTCCTTGCGTCTTTGATGTTCTTTATTCTTCTTTGCTCCAGGTGGGTTGGGACCAATTGATGCATCTTAGATGGTGGCTCACTAGCTTTTAAGACCCCAGACACCACTCACCAAAGTGGGATGCAGAAATTTTCTTAATAAACTTTGTTATGCCAACTGAGTTAGATGTCCCCTAAAACCATGGTCTCCAGACCCATGCACCTGCTACACCGTCCCTCGAAGTGTTTGGTTGTGTTCAGGAAACTTCTTAGCTTTGGTTTAGTCAACTTGTGCTGACTTTCCCTGTATTGTGTGTTGTCCTTCCCTTCACCTAAGATAATTCTTGCCTACTATCTAGGCAGTGAATACCCCTCTCCCTTCATCCCCTCCCTCGTAACCATCAAAGAATGTTTTATTCTGTGTTTAAACCTTTTCTTGAGTTCTTATAATAGTGAGCTCATAAAATATTTGCCCTTTTGCAGCTGACTAATTTCACTCACATAATGCCTTCCAAATTCATCCATATTATGAGATGTTTTGCAGATTCATCATTGTTCTTTATCATTGCGTAGTATTCCATTGTGTGAATATGCCATAATTTGTTTATCCATTCATCTGTTGAAGGGCACCTAGGTTGTTTCCAGCTTTTTGCTATTGTGAACAGGGCTGCAGTCAACATGGGTGTGCATATATCTATTCATATGACAGCTGTTATTTCTCTAGGATGTATTCCAAAGAGTGGGATTGCTGGATCGTATGGTACTTCTATTTCTAGCTTTTTAAGGAAGTGCCAAATCGATTTCCAAAGTAGTTGTACCATTTTACATTCCACCAGCAGTGTATAAATGTTCCAGTCTCTCCATAACCTCTCCAACATGTATTATTTTGTGTTTTTTGGATTAATGCTAGCCTATTGGGGTGAGATGGTATCTCATTGTAGTTTTGATTTACATTTCTCTAATGGCTAATGATCGTGAGCATTTCCTCATGTATCTGGTAGCCGCCTGAATGTCTTCTTTGGTGAAGTGTCTGTTCATATCCTTTGCCCATTTTTTAATTGGGTTATTTGTCTTTTTGTGGTTGAAGTTTTGCAGTATCTTATAGATTTTAAAGATTAGACCCTTATCGGATATGTCATAGCTAAAAAATTTTTCCCGGTCTGTAAGTTGTCTTTCTACTCTTTTGGTGAAGTCTTTTGATGAGCATAAGTGCTTGATTTTTGGAGCTTCCAGTTATCTAATTTCTCTTCTGGTGTTTGTGCATTGTTGATTATGTTTTGTATTCTGTTTATGCCATGTATTAGGGCTCTTAGTGTTGTCTCTATTTTTTCTTCCATGATCTTTATCGTTTTAGATTTTATATTTAGGTCTTTGATCCATTTTGAGTTAGTTTTTGTGCATGATGTGAGCTATGGCTCTTGTTTCAGTTTTTTGCAGATGGATATCCAGTTATGCCAGCACCATTTGTTAAAGAGACTGTTTTCCCTGATTAATGGACTTTAGGCCTTTATCAAATATCAACTGCTCATAGGTGGATGAATTTATGTCTGGCTTCTCAATTCTGTTCCATTGGTCTATGTATCTGTTGTTGTACCAGCACCAGGCTGTTTTGACTACTGTGGCAGTATAATAGTTTCTAAAATCAGGTAGTATGAGGCTCCCACTTTGTTCTTCTTCAATAATGCTTTACTTATCCGGGGCCTCTTCCCTTTCCATATGAAGTTGTTGATTTGTTTCTCCATCTCATTAAAAAATGCCATTGGAATTTGGATCATGATTGCATTGTATCTGTAGTTCACTTTGGGTAGAAAAGACATTTTCACAATATTGAGTTTTTCTATCCGTGAGCAAGGAAAAACATACGTTTTATGTCTCTGGTTAGATTTATTCCTAAGCATTTTATCTTCTTGAGGGTTATTGGAAATGGTATTGATTTGGTGATTTCCTCTTCGAAGTTCTCTTTGTTGGTGTAAAGGAATCCAATTGATTTTTGTATATTTATCTGGTATCCTGATACTTTGCTGAAATCTTTTAAGTTCCAGTAGTTTTCTTGTGGATTCTTTGGGGTTTTCTGTGTATAAGATCATATCACCGGCAAATAGGGATACTTTTACTTCTTCCTTACCAATCTGGATGCCATTTATTTCTTTTTCTAGCCTAATTGCTCTGGCTAGGACCTCCAGTGCAATGTTGAATAAGAATAGTGATAAAGGGCATCCTTGTCTGGTTCTTGATCTCAAGGCAAATACTTTCAGACTCTCTCCATTTAGGATGTTGTTGGCTGTTGGCTTTGTATAACTGCCCTTTATTATGTTGAGGAATTTCCCTTCTATTCCTGTTTTGCTGAGAGTTTTTATAGTGAATGGGTGTTGAACTTTGTCAAATGCCCTTTCTGCATCAATTGATAAGATCATGTGGTTCTTGTCTTTTGTTTTATTTATGTGATGGATTACATTGATTGTTTTTCTAATGTTGAACTACAACATTCAAACTTCCACATCTTTCTCCCTCTGAGCGGCTGGTGGGTTCAAACTGCTGACCTTTTGGTTAGCAGCCAAATACATAACCACTGCACCACCAGTGCTCTTCTTTTAATGGGACAGTGAGAGTAATTTACTTTTAAATGTGTTTGTGTCTTAAAATTCATCATTTTTCTCAAACTTGGTTTTTTTTTAAAAAAACATTTCATTAAATGGAACAAAAAGAATTTTATGCAAAAGATTAATACTGTTAATTCATATCAGTTTTCTTATTTTAGCCAAGCTTCTAAGTTTTATCAGCTCATTTACAAATGCTATTTGGGTCAATGGAAGGGAAATTTTTCCTACTAATTTTGATTTTCAAAGTGGTTACTGTAAAGTACAGAACTTGCACGATTAGCTGTATACAATGAGCAAAGGGTAACTGAAAGACCCAATGAAGTCTCAACATTAGCCTGCCCATATATCATGGTACCATTCCTAACTTCGTAATTCACTTGAATATTGTGTCTACAACAGCTCAGTAATAAATTACAAAAACTCAAATTATGAAGGTGGCTGATATTAAGCTTTTGTTCTTCAATATAACATCCAGGTAATTGGTAATTCGGTGCTAGATTAGATGCAGCAGAGAGGCAGTTCCCAGGGTAACTTCCCTATGATATCTTCCATGTGAGACCAAATGAGACCAACAAGACCACCAGCTCTACACAGGCTGTAGACATAGCAGTAGGGGCAAAAAATACCTACAATTATCTCAGACTGGAGCTCTTATCACTGGCTTCAGTTGCATGGCTGCAGCTATACTCTAACACCTAGATTTTTCTCCCCTTTAAGGTTTTGCAGTTTAGAAAAAATTTAAATGTACAAGCAGTTGATTTTAATCCCATTTCATTCAATTGTTTGGATGGATTATCTCTTCATTCCCTCCTATCCAACCATACAAAATATCTTACTACATAAAGTGTGCTAGTTATCCTTAAGTGAATTTTCATTATAGCTTCAAATCTTAAAAGAATTCACAACAAATTGACTAGTGGCATTTTTCCCATCTTCCTCTTCTTCATGAATTATCATATTATAATGTCAAGCACATGGGTGATTTATTTTTTATTATTATTATATATTGACATCCTCAGCAGTACAATGTTAAAATAAATATTACTTGTTTTAATTTGATCAGAACAAGTGCATTACATAGAGTTTGTATAATTATTGTAGATGACAAGAAAATGGAATCTTCCCACCATTTATCTCAGTGGTTGTTTAACCATATATGAAAACAAAGCTATATCTTGGTTTTTCTCTGTAATTTTTTACTTAGGCCCCATTCTTTCTCTATCATCATGTATTTGGTGTTCTGCTGTCTCTGTTTGCTTGACCTTTTATAATGAATATGATCATTTTCTTCATTCAAATAGAGAAAAAAGAAAAAATACTAAATATTTCTTTGTATATAAGAAATGTAGTTTTTTCCTTTTTATGTTTATTTTCACTCCTAGTCTTGCACCTTGAAAGTGGAAATTTATTGAGATGAGAGAAGCTGGGGAAATAAAGGGAAAAATCACTTCAGATTCTGTACACACATGAGAAATTTATGTCAACAAGTCAAAATCCTGATGACAGAAAACTTCTAGGAAACAATGAGTGTAGGTTGAGACAGAGACCATCAGGCAGAAAAAGGATGCTCATGTGTGGAGGAGAGCTGAGACAAAAATATATTAAGCAGCTTAGTTAGATAGGCCAGATCCTGGTCACCTGCAAGAGTCCTTTTACAATTTTGTATCTCTAAGAATGGCCTACACACACACACACACACACACACACACACACAGATGTGTTCCATTCTACTAGGTTTTTCTCTCTTAGATACCAGTTTTGGAGGCAATCCAGTCTCGGAAGGCAGTCACTCGCGTATAAACCCCGGGCTTATTGGGTAGCCCGCATTCATCTCCCCAGCTCACTATTCCAGCAAGGTACCAGATATCCCTAGCATTTGGACTACCCAGTGGTCCTCCAGAGTCACCCTAAGGGAAAAGGAGAGATTAGTAATTAATAATTCAGTTCATCACAGAGCAATTTGCTGTTTTCTAACTTAAGAGTTTAATGAAATGGGTTATTTTCAAAAGTTTTCAGTGTGTTTGAAGGCAGAAATGCTTCCTTGGCTCTCCATCAGTTATCCACATAAAGGGGAAGACCAAATTTCTGGAGAATTATCTTAGACTAAGGGTTCAGTCCACTGAGAATTGAAGGCTCTACATCTTTGGAGAGCAGTGCTCTTAAGTTATCTGATACATAGGACAAAAACAACTTCCATTATCCTCCCAGTGGAGGTTGCCTCTGTTAATGTGACATAGCTTCCACAAAAGGGTAAAGGGCCTATTACTGATAAAGAGCATGCGTGTTATAGTCAGACACCTGGGATTAAATCTCAAGTTTAAACCAGTTGCTGTCAAGTCAACTCCAACTCATGGTGAACCCACACGTGTCAGAGGAGAACTGTGTTCTACAGGGTTTTCAAATGACTGATTTTTTGGAAGTAGATCACCAGGACTTTCTTCTGAGACACCTTTGGGTGGACTCAAACTCTAACCTGTTAGTTAGTAACCTAACACGTTAACAGTTTGTACCATCCAGGCACTCCATCTCTGTTCTGGCCTTTCCAAATTAGATAAGGCCTTCAATTTATTCGTTTATAAATGCTCCCAATAACACTTACCCCAGATGATTATTCTGGGAATTAATGTAAGACAGTAAATGTAAAGTGATTAGTACAGAGCCTGACACAAAGCAGAACTTAGTAAATACATAAACACATAAATATACCACAAATTCAAATTGTTTATATCTTATGAACTCTAGAGGGCTGCTTCCTTATGCAGGTAATGAGAACAAAGTACTGGCAGATCATTCCTCAGCCAGTGAAGTCTGTGGTTATTAACCACCCATTAAGTGTTCAACACCTATGAAGCTCGTAATTAATTAACATATTATCTCATTAACTCATGTAATCCTTGCAATAAAGCATAGAGATAGATTTTCTCCATTTTGGTTTTCTAAAACTCAAAAAAATTAAATAACTTTCCTTGAGGTCACATGCTAACCAATAGTAGAACTTGAATTTGAATCCAGAGCTCTGTAATCCAGAAGTGCATGCTTTTTTCCCTACATTATACCACCTTCCTGTGAATTGTCTAATTAGTATAAAATATTAATATTAACAATAGTTGAATTTGAAATAATGTCTTTATAATTTTTAAATCAATTAACCAATAAATATTTACTGATATCCTCATATGAGGTAAGAGACATGAAAAGAGTGTAAATGCATGGGTCTTGGCCTTAAGGTTACTACAGTAAAACCTGTGCAAGGCAGAACCAGTGTAAGGCAGAAACCTGTCAGAGAAGGACAACTCAAATATTTTCCACTAATAGTGACAGAAAAGTGGTAAGACTGCACCCTGTTGAAGGCAGAAAACTTGCGAGACCCAGAAAAACAAAGCAGTCCCATTGAGTTTCAGCTCTCATAAGTTTCACTGTATAATCTGCTCATAAAAATATGATGCTCACATGAAAGCTATTTAAAAGTAAATCATTTTGATAACTAAGGCCCAAGCCTATATGAAGGCAGATAAGGACTCTGGTGAAGCCAGAATTTGATTAAAGTTTTGTTTTGTTTTGTTTTTTGCAATGAGGACACAAAGCCAGGTGCAGTGTGTATGTGAAAGAATAAGAGAATAAACACACAAAGTTTTTATAAAAAAATTAAAAATGGATGATGCACCATTTTACGGATTCAGATTGGAAATCATACAAATTAGCATGGAATTTCAAATACCAATAGGGGCTTTAAAGAGCACATTAGACACAGGCCTGTCAAATCAGAAGAATGATGGTATCAGAAGTGGTGGTATCAGAAGAGCCTAGTGGGGGGCTTGAAATTCTACCTTTGTTAATCAATACTAAGGCATTACTCCCTCAGCTGCATGTCAAAAAAGAATGAATGGGGAACCTGAACTTTCACCTCTAGCTGGCAGTAATGAAGTGGTAGCCTCCCACTCCCCAATGGTGTGGTCTCAGAGGAGGCCTGCTAAAACAAGATTTAAGTATTTAAATAAGATCCAGAGTCTTATAGCATAATGCCCAAAATGTCCCCAATACATTTGAAAATCACTTGTCATACCAAGAAACATGAAAATCTCAACTTGAATGAGAAAAGGCAACCAAAGATGCCAATACTGAGATGACATAGATGTTGAAATTATACGATGAAAATTTTAAAGCAGCCATCATACAACTATCATACAGCCATCATACAACTATATCAATGAGCAATTACTACCATGCTTAAAACAAATGAAAAAAAAAGAGAGAGGAAGAAACAAGTCTCAGCAAAGAAATAGCAGATATAAAGAAACCTAAATGGAAATCTTAGAACTAAAAAATACAATAACCAAAATATAAAACTCAGTGGATAGTCTCAACAGCAGAATGGAGATAACAGAGCAAAGAATCAGTAAGCATGAAGATAGAATGATAGAAATTACCCAGTCTGAAAAACAGAGAGAAAATGGAATGACAAAAAAAATTAACAGAAGGTCAGGGACCTGTGAGACTATAACAAAGTATCTATTATTCCTGCCAGTGGAGTCCCAGAAAGAAAGAAGAAATAAAGGAGAAGGTGGGTAAAAAAGTACTCAAAGAAATAATGACTGAAAATTTCCCAAATTTGGTAAAATACATGAGCCTACAGATTCAAAAAGCTAAGAAAATTCCAAGCAGGATAAATCCAAAGAACTCCATGCCAAGACACATCATAATCCAACTTCTGAAAACGAAAGCAAAGAAAAAAGTCTTGAAAGGAGTGAGAGAAAAATGACACTTCACTTACAGGGAAAAAACAATTTGACTGACATCATACTTCTGTTCATAAATCATAGAAATCTAAAGAAAGTGGCCAGGGAGTCACTAGACAACATTTTTTAAGTGCTGAAGCTAAAAACTCTCAACCCCAAATTGTATATGACACAAAGTTATCCTTTAGAAATGAAGGGAAAATAAAGATTTTTTTCAGACCAAAAAATAGTCCTAAGTTAATGTTTCACTGGCATATCTACCTTAAAGAATGGCTAAAGGAAATGATAAAAGAAGAAATCTTAAAATTAGGAAGGAAGGAAGAACAACAGAAAGAGCAAAACTATGGGTAAATATAATAGACTTTCCTTCTCCTGTTGAGTTTTCTATGTTATGTTTGACAATTGAAGCAAAAACTTTGTCCAATGTGATTCTGAATATGTGTAGAGGAAATATTTAATATTTACATTATACTTATTAATGTTTAATATTATAAACAGGAGAAGGTAAAGGGATTTAAGGGGAGGTAAGTTTTCTATTCCACACTTTGTTCAAAATAGTAGAATTCTGACACTAGTAGGCTGTAATAAGTTATGTATGTATAATATAACATCTAAAGGAACCACTAAAAAATTTACACAAGGAGATCATCAAAAATACTATAGATAAATAAAAATGGAATTCTAAAATAAACTTACTGTATGATTCTATTAATACAACATTCTAAAAATGACAAAATTATAAATATGGAGAACAAATTAGTGATTGCCAGGGACTAGGGATGGTGGGGAGAAAGGCAATGGGTGTCTATTCTAAAGAAAGATCTTTGTTATGCTGGAATAGATCTCCATCTTGACTGTGGTGGTGGCTACACGAATTTACACATGTGATAAAATGCCACATAACTATAAACACAAATTGTATCATGTTAATTTATTGGTTTTTAAAGAAAGAATTGGCCATCTGCTCCTGTAAAGATTACAGCCAAGAAACCCCTATAGAGCAGTTCTACTCTGTAACACACGGGGTTGCCATGAGTCAGAGGCTGACTTGACAACCACTAACAGCAACAATAATTATATAAGATATAACCATTGGGGGAAACTGGGTGAAGAGTACATCGGAACTTTCTATACTATCTTTGCAACTTCCTATAATTATTTCAAAATAAAAGGTAGCAGAAAAGCATGTGGCATACTTATAAGTAAAATCACTTACCTGGCATGCATCTTTATTTCCTCGCAAGGAGCCAGCACATAACATTCTAGGAGTTATGGCACCATTGTAAGCTTGAGGTTTATTGCATGTTTTAGTGTCTATGAGATCCACCTGTACTTGCTGAAGATGATTTTGACTGGCACCTAAAGGAGAAAAAAAATCATCTTTATATTTGTGGATCTACATATATTTTAAGGAGCCCTGGTGGCGCAGTGATTAAAGCGATCGACTGCTAACCAAAAAGTCAGTGGTTCAAAACCACCCGCGGCTCAATGGGAGAAAGATGTGGCAGTCTGCTCCCTTAGAACCATAGAGATTTACAGCCTTGGAAACCCTATGAGGTCACGATGAGTCTGAATCAACTCGATGGCATTGGGTTTTTGGTTACATATATTTTATAAATTGGGAGAAAGCCTTAATTATTGGGTAAGACCGTGATACAGAACCTTAGGATATGTATTTTTCAGATACGATAATATCTGGAAAGAGATTGCTCATCAGACTTCTTCCTATCTACTTTAAATGAAAAGTTAGGTGCATAGGAAAGCACCTAAAGTTGTTTTAAGTAATTTCCACTCCATTGCTTACCTCAGAAGGAAATTGCTGTAGGGGAGAAATGTGGCTTTATGATTCTCCGTGATCTTCACAATTGGGTCTATTAATGATCTCTAATCTCCTAAGGGTTAATTCCCAAGTACAAAGTTCAGTGGCTAGGAGACATATTTACTCTTTCAGACACCTTACCAACCACCATTACTCTAGTAATAGTAATGCAGTTAGTAGTAACCTAAGGCTTGAAGAAATTTATGTGTCTTCTAAAAACATAGTTCACTAGTGGGGCTTGCCTTGGCCCAGGTCCATACGACAACCAATCAGCATATTTTGGCATAATGACATTCGATTCTTTAAATGCATTAGAATATCAAGTTATATTACTATAATCTGAGCTTGTGTTCAGATGCTCACCATCATTTTGCAGTGCTCCAAATCCGGTCACAAACATGCGGTCACCTGGGTGGAACTCATGAGAAGACTCAGGAAGGCAAATTCTATGTACAGCATTTGTGTAGGGCACAGGGCTATAAAGCTGTGCAACTGCAATATCATAGTCATGTGATGGGTATTTGTATTTTTCATGGACAATTATCCTCCTGAGACCTCGTTTCATTTTTGGAGGCTTTAGTGTTACTCCAAAGGAAGCAGTCCATCGGCCAGGATCCTTATACCTGGGGAGAAAAAAGGAAGAATAGATTCCACTTTACCATGCCATCAATATAATGTTTTTATATTAAGCAATGTAGTCTGCAGGTGTCAGTATAAGTTTTTCTTCTAAAAATTATATTTTCTATGTACTGGCATGCCTCAGAGATATTGCGGGTTCGGTTCCTGGCCACCTCAATAAAGCAAAAATTGCAATAGAGTCACATGAAGTTTTTGGTTTCCCAGTGCATATAAAAGTTATGTTTACACTATACTGTAGTCTACTAAATGTGCAATAGCATTATGTCTAAAAAAAAAACAATGTGCATATCTTAACTAAAAAATATTTTATTGCTAAAAAATGCTAACAATCAACTGAGCCTTCAGCGAATAGTAATCTTTTTGCCAGTGAAGGGTCTTGCCTCTATGTTGATGGCTAGTGACTGATCAGGGTGGTGGTGGCTGAAGTTTGGGTGACTGTGACAATTTCTAAAAATAAGACAACAATGAAATTTGCCACATCGATTGACTCTTCCTTTCAAGAAACATTTCTCTGTAGCATGAAATGCTGTTTGATAACATTTTACCCACAGTAGAACTTCTTTCAAAATTGGAGTCAATCCTCTTAAACCTGCTCCTGCTTTATCAACTAAGTTTATATAATATTCTTGATCTTTTGTTGTGATTTCAACAATATTCACAGCATCTTCAGCAGGAGTAGATTCCATCTCAAGAAACCACTTTCTTTGCTTATTCATAAGAAGCAACTCATCATCCGTTAAAGTTTGACCGTGAGATTGCAGCAATTCAGTTACATCTTCAGGCTCCACTTCTAGTTCTAGTTCTCTTGTTATTTCCGTCACATCTGCAGTTACTTCCTCCACTGAAGTCTTGAACCTCTCAAAGTCATCCGTGAGGGTTGGAGTCAACTTCTTCCAAACTCCGGTTAATGTTGACATTTTGACCGCCTCCCTTGAATCATGAATGTTCTTCATGGCATCTAGAATGGTGAATCCTTTCCAGAAAGTTTTCAATTTACTTTGTCCAGATCCATCAGAGGAAATCACTATCTAAGGCAGTGATTGTATTTCTGCCGAAATGTATTTCTTAATAACAAGACTTAAATAATAAGACTTGAAAGTCAAAATTACTCCTTGATCCATGGACTGCAGAATGGACGTTGTGTTGGCAGGCATGAAAACAACATTAATCTCCTTGTACATCTCCATCAGAGCTCTTGGGTGACCAGGTGCATTGTCAACAAGCAGTAATATTTTGAAAGGAATCTTTTTTTCTGAGCAATAGTTCTCAATAGTAGGTTTAAAATATTCAGTAAACCATGTTGTAAACAGATGTGCTGTCATCCAGGCTTTGTTGTTCCATTTGTAGAGCACAGGCAGAGTAGATTTAGCATAAATCTTAAGGGCCCTGGGGTTTTTGGAATGGCAAATGAGCATTGGCTTCAACTTAAAGTCACCAGCTGTATTAGCCCCTAACAAGGGAGTCAGCCTGTCCTTTGAAGCTTTGAAGCCAGGCATTGACTTCTCCTCTCTAGCTATGAAAGTCTTAGATGGCATCTTCTTCCAATCTAAGGCTGTTTCATCTGCATTGAAAATCTGTTGTTTAGTGTGGTCACCTTCAACAATTATCTTAGCTAGATCTTCTAGATAACTTGCTGCATCTCCTACATCAGCACTTGCTGCTTCACTTTTATCTTATGGAGATAGCTTCTTTCCTTAAACCTCGTGAACCAACCTCTGCTAGCTTCAAACTTTTTCTTCTGCAGCTTCCTTACCTCTCTCAGCCTTCACGGAATTGAAGAGTTAGGGCCTTGCTCTGGATTAGGCTTTGGCTTAAGGGAATGTTGTGGTTGGTTTGATCTTCTAACCAAATCACTAAAACTTTCTCCATACCAGCAATAAGGCTGTTTCAATTTCTTATCATTTGTGTATTCACTGGAGTAGCACTTTTAATTTCCTTCAAGAACTTTTCCTTTGCATTCACAGCTTCACTAACTGTTTGGCACAAGAGGCCTCGTTTTTGGCCTGTCTTGGCTTTCGACACGCCTTTCTCACTAAGCTTAATAGCTTTTGATTTAAAGTGAGAGATATGAGAGTCTTCCTTTCACTTGAACATTTAGAGCCCATTGTAGGGTTATTAATTGGCCTAGTTTCAATATTGTCGTTTCTCAGGGAAAAGGGAGGCCCAAAGAGATGGAGAGAGATGAGGAATGGCCGGTTGGTGGAGCAGTCAGAACATACACAACATTTATCTATTTAGTTATATGGGTCTGGTTGTGGCGCCCTAAAACAATTCCAATAGTAACATCAAAGATCACTGATCACAGATCACCATAACAGGTATAATAATAATGAAAAAGTTTGAAATATTGCGAGAACTATCAAAATGTGACACAGAGACACGAAGTGAGCACATACTGTTGGAAAAATTGTGCTGATAGACTTGCTCGATGTGGGGCTGCCACAAACATTGAATTTGCAAAACAAAACGAAATAAAACAAAAACACAATATCTGTGAAGGTCAATAAGGTGAAGTGCAATAAAATGAGGTATGCCTGTACAGAAAAGAATTCTTTCCAGTCTGAAAATCAGACTCAGGGATCAAATCACAGGTGGAAATGCCATGGTGGCATGTTTCCTAGGAAATACATGCCAAGTCACCCACTCCAAATCCTAGGGCGTTTTGACATTTTTGGACATCAGTGACTCCAAGGGGACATCTGGAAAGCATATTTTGTGCATAATGAAATAAATAAATGTATTTTATGTGCCTCATGTCCCCTACTCACAAACTTATATCTTTCTCTGAAAACCAAGAGGGCCATACAATAATTTAACAAAGCATTACTATAGAAGGTATGCTGTATACTGTGTATATATATGATATAGCGTATATATATACGATATACTGTATACTGTAGACATTTTAACACTAGGTTGAAAAGTCATCCATTCCTTGGAATATAACAGGTCAACCTATTCAGTTGTATAATTTGCTACTTCCAAATTTCTTTATACTGAACTTACCTTTCTTACTATGTGGAACTGCCCTGTTGGAGTCCAACCCACAATCCACCAACGTTTGTTCCTGGCAGCAGTGGAGAGACATGGCTCTTCTCCTTGACATCAAGCTTAAAGTCTTTTAATGATAACTTTAAAATTCCTATTTCCCTTAATAACCTATTGAGTTCATCCGATAATTTATATTCATGCCCTTTGATGCTATTTCCATTTCCAAACTATAAAACTTCTAAGGTTTATGAATTTCCCAATCTGTTTGTGATATATATACATTCTTTAATTTGTGCTAAACTTATCCCTTTCAAACCTTCATGAGGTATTTCTTTCCTGCCAAGCCCCCAATTCACTTTGCTTACTCCACCTCCATTGCGACATTCAGGACTTACATTCTAAAGCAGTGAGCAGCACTCACAAGCCACACGCCATTAATTAAGGTCGCTCCACAGCGATGCACTCCATCCCATTGCAGGGTAGCTTGCCATGGCCATTCACCCTCTTCTACCTCTGTCCCACCAACTATCCTGAAACTCTGGTTGGTAGTGTTACTCCTTCGTGTTCCACAGCCTACCAAAGAGAGACGATGCATTAGTTAACAGTTGTTTATAAGCAACAAAATGGTGTTACTATGTCTCATATTCCTTTTACTTTGTGCTCCTATAGTATCAGACATTTCCTCTTGGTATTATCATTTCTTAAACTGTAATGGTTCATTTCGTTAACTCTTGTTGGTCTTTTAAGATTTAAATCAGTTGTTATCTCCTCTAGAATGCATTCTCCAACCATTCTCCTGTCCCATTCTCAATGCTTCCACAATTAAAAAAATTATATTTATATATATA